GGACAGACACTATCTCAAAGTGAAAGGATGGAAAAAAAAATATACCAAACAAATGGCACTAAGAAAAAAGCAAGTGTAGTAATCCTAATATCTGACAAAATAGACTTTAAACTGAAACTAGCCAGAAAAGACAAAGAGGGCTATTTCATTTTGATCAAAGGAACAATCAATCAAGAAGATATTACAATCATGAACATATATTCACCAAACTCTGGTGCACCCAACTTCATAAAAACAATACTACAGGACTTTAAGACCCAAGTTAACCCCAACTCATTAATAGTAGGGGACTTCAGTACCTCACTATCTCCATTAGATAGGTCATCACAACAGAGTGTTAACAGAGAGGTATCTGAATTAAACAATACCATGTATCAAATGGACCTAACAGACATCTACCGAGTATTACCCAAGCACTTAATAGTAGGGGACTTCAATACCCCACTAGCTCCATTAGATAGGTCAACAGAGTGTTAACAGAGAGGTATCTGAATTAAACAATACCATGTATCAAATGGACCTAACAGACATCTACCGAGTATTCCACCCAAGCACCAAAGGACATTCTTTCTACTCAGCATCTCATGGAACCTTCTCCAAAATCGACCATATACTGGGACACAAAACAAACCTCAACAAATACCAAAAGATTGGAATAATTCCATGCCTTCTATTAGACCACAATGCAATACAACTTAAAATGAACACCAGAAGAAGCCTTAGTCACCACATGAACACATAGGAATTAAACAACACACTCCTGAATGATGAATGGGTCAAAAGAGAAATTAAGAAAGAAATAAAAGTATTCCTGGAACTAAATGAAAAGGACAATACAACACAAGAAAACCTCTGGGACACACTGAAAGCTGTCCTTAGAGGGAAGTTTATAGCTCTAAGGGCTTACATTAAAAAATTCCAAAAGAACACAAATCACTTAACATTGCAACTTAAGACACTTGAAAAGCAAAAACAAATGGAACCCAAACCCAGCAGACAAGAGGAAATAACAAAAATCAGGGCAGAAATTAATGAAATTGAAACAAAGAAAACAATACAAAGAATCAAAGACTCCAAGAGCTGGTTCTTTGAAAAGATCAACAAGATTGACAGACTGCTATCCTAGTTAACTGAAAGAAAGAAAGAGCACCTCCAAATCAATAAAATCAGAGATGAAAGGAGAAACATTACAACAGACACCAGAATGATACAGAACATTATAAGGGAATAATTTAAAAACCTATATGCTACTAAATTTGAAAACCTAAAAGAAATGGACAAATATCTAAAGGCATGGGAACCACCAAAACTAAACCAAGAAGAGATTAACAGCTTATACAGACCTATAACACAAAAAGAAATTAAA